GAGAGAGAGAGAGAATCGGGGGGGAAAAAGAGGCGATGGAATAAGCGCATTCGCGCTTCCACCTCCGACCTTCTGGCCGTTTTTCCTTCTTTCTCGCGAGCTCTTTCGCTTCTCTCCTCCGTTCCGATCTTCCTTCGTGCGCGCGTGTGCGAGGAGATAGCGCAGCTCCGAGAGTGTTGCAGCTCGGAGAGCGTTCACGTTTGCGTGAACCGCGTTGCAGGGAACCGTTAGGATCGCAACCGCGCGCGCGGCCGCGAGGGGAGGAACGCGAAACGGTGACTTTATCGTCCCTTCTCTGGGCAGGGTGAGCCCTCACGGAGGTGTCCGCCGTTCCGTACTTCGCCTTGCACGTTCGTTAACCCCTTAAGGCGGCGTGATACTCGGGCTAGCTTGTATACAGGGTGTTCGGTAATCAGCAGACTGCCCGTGTGCCCTTTATTGTTATGTTGAGAATCGAGAAAATCGATTCGAAATTGTTTTTTTCTTGAAAAGAGATCGAAACGTAGACGTATTTTGAATCAAAATAGAAAAAAAATAATCTTGGAAAATTAAACTTCTAAAGGGACAATGATTTGTTTTTTTACTTCAAATAGAATTGCTTATCTTCCTCCAGGATTGACAATGTGTTAATTATAATATTTAATTGATTCCTGATTTATTTATAATTCCTAGTTAATTTATTTACTCGACAGTTAGTGTAAAGCGAGATTTACTGGAATTTGCTTTCTTCGCGTCGTGAAATTAATATTGAATTGAAATATTGTAAATTTGATAATTAAACATAATAATTTGGTAATTAAACATTGTACCGATTTCATCATTGTCAAACATCTACTGAAAGCGCATGATTTTTATATTGTTTCGAAATGAAGGAAAACACATTACTTTGATCGCTTGGCTTTTTAAATATTTTTATATCGACATTTAAAGAATAATATTTGTCGCGGATTGAAAAGCAACATGAGACTATCGCTCGAATTCACATTCTCGATTACTTAGATATACGCATATATGCACAGAGAAATTGATTTATAATCCATTCATATATCAGTTTTGAAAATAATTTATAATGTATTCATAATAATTTTGAAAGAAGACCTTCGAACATACGATTTCTCAAACAAAAAAACGAAGGTTCGTCGCTTTCAAAACTTTATTGTGGCTTATGCAAAGTCGCTTGCGCAAAAAGCTCGCTTTCGCAATGGAGGGACGGATGTCCGTGAAACGTAATCACCGCAAAATATCAACCATTAATAATGTAACTTTAATTTAATTTGCGACATACATCGAGCGAGAGCCTTCCTGTTTGCCTTCGATGTAATATTGTTATACTCCGAAAAAACGTTTGTTATCGATATATAAATTGCGTAAACATGTTTGATATACGTTGTACCGATCCTTTTCATCGTTCGCAATTCACATTCCAATCAAGCGATATATCAATTTTTAAACAATAATAAGTTCATGGTAACTAGGAGAAAAGAAAGATTAAAAAGAATTACACGTGCAAGTTATCAATAATTTCTTAATCTCTTTTTTTCTCATTGAGTCAATTACGAAATAATAATTCGATTTGAATATTGTAAATTTATTTATATGTCATATTATACCAGTTGTCATATTATTACCAATATTATAATTATTATCAATATTATACTACTAAATATTTTATTTATACAAAATGTATAATAAAGTATATTGAGCGCTTCAAAATTAGATTCTATTTCAACCAAGTCTGCATGAAATTAAAAATTGAAAAATAAAATTAAAAGTGTAAACAAACACTCCATTTTCTATCATCTATAAATAAGAATTTATACAATTTCATATTATTTCGAATCATCATACGAAGTATAAGCATATATTGTTGTCACTTTATTAGTTGTAGTTTACTTTTTCAGTTGCAAATCTTTTATGAAGCACCAGAAATACTTCCATCGATAAAAAGGATCATACATTTTATTATCAAATCTCTTGCCAGAATTGATAGCTAAACCATAGATTTATAGAAAAACTTTTAGTTTTACAGGGTAAAATTAAAAATTTTTGAAAAATAATGAAACATT